GTCCTGACGCCTCTCCACTTAGGCCTGAGCTCCTTGAGGCCAACGCCACCCATCTTTGTCTCTGTCTCTGTCTCTCCCTTCCTCCCTTTCTCTCTCCCTCCCTTTCTCCGTTCCTCCCTGCCTCTCTTTGTCTCTTTCTTTCTTCCTTCCTTTTTTCCTTTGTTTCATATCCATCAAGGCCCTTAGCATAAAGCCTCACCTGTTTTTCTTAATGCATGGATTAAAGGAAGCTGTTTAATAACTGAATGTCCACTGGGTAGCTAAGAGCAGGGCTGCCTTAGATGGTTACTGTTTATTCTGTCCGGTTGTCATAACAAAATACCATTGGCGGCGTGGCTTGGACAGCAGACGTCTGTAGACATCTGTTCCCCCACAGTTCTAGGGGCTGGAAGTCTGCGATCAGATGCCAGCAGGGCTGGGTTCTGGAGGGGACCCTCCTCTTGGCTTGCAGATGGCCACTTTCTTACGGCATCTCACATGGCAGAGACAGAGAGAGAAGTGGAAAGAGAGAGGGAGATAACAGAGACAGGCTCGGGCAGCTCTGTGGTGTCTCTTCTTATAAGGACACTAATCCCATGAGGGAGGCCCCACCCTCATGACCTCATCTAACCCTAATTACCTCCCTAAATCCCCACCTCCAAATACCATCACGTTGGAGGCTAGGGCTCCAACATACGAATTTTGGGAGGACGCAATCATTCAGTCCATAACAGCTGCCCACTTAGCAGAGCATGTCAGTCTAAAGCAGTGGTTCTCAACCAAGGGGACTTCGTCCTCCCCACCCAGGGGACATGCGGCAATGTCTGGAGACGTTTTTGATTGTCCCGCTGGGTGGGGGCTGCTGCTGGAATCTAGCGGGTACAGGCAGGGGTGCTGATAACCACCCTGTAGGGCACAGGAAAGCCCCCATCAAACAGTTATCCTGCCCAAATGTCAGTAGTGCCCAAGCTGAGAAACCATGGTCCTGCAGGGGAGAAGAGGGGACCCCACAATCAGCCTATGTCAGTTCCAGATTTCTGCAGTTGGTCTCATAGCCCTTTTAGATGCTTTAATAGCAATGTCCTCCCACCCTCTGCTAGGCCCTGTCTGCCTGGCTGACTCTCTTTGTCCAACTCTTCTTAGTTCTCCGCACTTCTGTGAGCTACGAAAACCCATCAAGTCAGTGTATCTTATCATGTAGTGCCACTATCATCGTTCCAAAGTCCCTCGCCCGCGGTGGGCTTGCGTGCAGTGTTTCTCAAACAAGCCCATTTCTTCTAGCCACAGAGAAATGTGAGATGACATTTTCTAAAATTGTCGCTTTGTAAAAATGCCAAGACTAATCTCAAGGCACAAAGAACATTGTGGAAATCAAAATTGACTCTAGAAGTCGTGTCCAGCAAAGGCTGGATTGAAATGACAGGCGCTGTGGGCTTATGTTATTGTGTTGTGGTTGTTTCCCATTTAATACTGCTTACTGAAGACAAGGATTTTTAGAAAGTTTCTGTAGCTAAATAATGACCTGTTACAGCTTGAAGGTTGCAAATAATCTGCTGTCTTTAGAAACTGCCTGTGCTTCACGTGATCTGTTGGTGTCCATCTTATTTATTTGCACATGTTTGGCCGGGTGTGGGCTGCTAAGAGGAGGCAGGTTGATTGCATTTCCCACTTTTTCATTGAAGAGATCAGTGTCTGCAAGGGAACTCCAACACAACCCTGTCTTAAAGCTTTCCTGTTTTATGCAAATGCATTTAGAATGCTCAGTGGACAGAAGTTTGGCCTCTTTAAGAAAAAGAAAGAGTCAAAAACTGTAATCAGGTGTAAACTGAAGAAGCTTACAGAGCTAATTCCTTGGCTCTGTAGAGCAGGCACCGATGCAGGGGGAGAAGGAGGGCAGAGGCTGGTTGCTAGGCAGTGGTTCCTACGGGGAGGGAAGCATCGGTGGGTTGGTTGTAGACTACGTAAAAGATGGGCCAGGCTAGAAGGAAGGAGGAAGCTCAGATACTCTTCCTCTTCCTCTTTCTGAGCTGGAGAAGAACAGACACACAGACAAAGGCTCCAAGAGTGTTTGGTTGCAGGGTTCCTGTGCAATGAGCAAGGGCTGCTCTTTGCAGGACAGAAGCCAGCTGATTATCGAGGGGAGAGGAAATCATCCTGACTTTCAGATCATGCTGAAGTGGGTGGAGGGTCAGCTAGTTGAAACCTGGAAGCACTGGGAGGAGAGCAAGGGAGGTTTTCCTGAGAGTTGGAAGGAAGCCAGCGGTGAGCAGAGCGTGAGGGCAGTTGAGCTTCATGTCAAGATGGTGTCCTCACATCTCTCTGACTACTCATGCTGGAAAAAGGGGACCTTATTAATCAAAGGATAAGTGGTAGCCTCCAGAGCCAAATGCCTGGGTTCAAATCCTAGCTTCATCACTTTGAAGCTGTGTTGCCAAAGGCAAGCTATGTAAATTCTCTGTGCTTTGGTTTTCTCGTCCATAAAATGGGCATAATGGTATTAACCTACCCATAGGTTGTTGTGAGAACTGAGAGTAGATACATATGTAGCATTTAAAGCAGTGTCTGCACATAATGAGTGCAGTGCGACTGTTAGTTACTACTACTTCGTTTTTCTCTCCTCTTCCAGATCAGAGACAGAAGATCTGAGCTCTTTATGCATTCTAATATCATGCATTCTCTTGTAAGCGAGGTTTGTAAAGTCATGGCAATCATTTGAGTTTATGCATAGTTCATGTTGTGTATCAGTCAGGATGGGTACATGATGCTTGGTAACAAACAGTCTCTAGTGGCTCCGCACTGCATAAGCCCATATCTCTGGTTCATGTCCAATGAGGGCTGGGCCTGGGGCTGGGGCTGGGGGGCTCTGTTCATATTACTCATGCAGAGTGTTGGCCATTAGGGCCTTCATCTCCACATGTCTATCTTTCCAACCTCAGCTTGTGCCAAGTTCCCCTTTGCCCACTCTGCTTGCCCCTGCCTGCTCTGTGTTTCCAGAATGCCAAGCTCTTGCCTAGCTTATCTTCTCTGCCTGGCATGTTCTTCCCATGGCCGGTTCCATCTCCTCCTTTAGACCTTAGTTAAGATAACACCTCCTGACTACCCCATCCAAAGACAGTCCTTTGTCCCAGACATACTTTGCCATTTTGCCCTCATGTTTCATCCTAAGCACTTTATTATTAAATAACTCAATCTACTGATTTATTGCCTGAAACGTAAGCTGCATAAGGGAAAGGGTTTTGTTTTGTTCACTGCGGTGTCCTGACTGCCTAGGACATAGCAAATACTAAAAAAAAAAATATTTGTGGCATAAATGAATGAGTGTCTGTCTTCTCCCACTAGAATTTACATGCTCTGGGTAGGAGCCTTATTGGCTTTGTTTATCACCAGTCTCTCGGCCCAGGCAGAGTACTCAATACATATTTGTTGAATGAATAAGCTAGTGTCTGGAGAGCCATCTGTTGTGGTGCCCGGTTTCTCACGCCTCAGACAGGTCTCCCTGTAGGCTCCTGTCAGTAGATGGGAGTGTAGAGTTTACCCGCGATTCTTTTCACTGCCCCCTACTTCACCTGGTGGCAGATGGGGTTCCCCAAGAGAAATGGCTCAGTGATATGGACAGTCAGTGGAGGTGGTATCTCTGAAATGTTATAAATAGGCCAGGCATAGTAGCTCATGCCTGTAATCCCAGCACTTTGGGAGGCTGAGGTGGGAGGATCACTTGAGGCCGGGAGTTCAAGACCAGCCTGGGCAAACACAGCAAGACCCTGTTTCTATGAAAACTAAAAAAAAATTAGCTGGGCATGGTGGCCTGTGCCTGTAGTCTTGGGAGGCTGAGGCAGGAGGATCGCTTGAGCCCAGGAGTTCAAGGCTGCAGTGAGCTATAATTGGGCCACTGCACTCCAGCCTGGGTGATGGAGCAAGGCCCTGTCTCTAAAAATTAATCAATTAAAAATGATATAAATCCATTATTCTAGGGGCTCATCTCTCAACACCAGCTGACCGGCAACTTCTGTGGCTACCAAGGGATGGCAGCCATGGGAAGAAAGCATCAGCTTCCTGTGTCCCTATCTCCTGCACCCCCAGCTCTTCTCCCCCCTTTCTCTGTCTTACAGAGGCATAGTGGCTACAGGCCAGGTCCCTGGAGCCAGACTGCTTGAGTTGGAATCCAGCCTTGGTCACTTACTAGCTGTGCAACTTTGGGCAAGTTACTCCACCTCTCTGAGCCTATTTCGCCATTTATAACATGGGGATGATATTGAGACCTATCCCATGGAGTGGTTGTAAGGCTTAAATTAATTAATATAGCCCAAGTGCTTAGAATAGTGTCTGGCCCATGGTAAGTTCTATGTAGCATTTATTGTTGTTATAAAGCACTTGCTCAGCACATACTCAGTTTGGGTATTTTTCTAGACTGGAGGGTTTAAAACTTCTTCTTAAGTGAGTCAGACGTTTTTTCAAGTGAAATCTTAAAAACAACCCCAATATATAAAACAGAATTTAAAAGAGCTTTTCTGGTCTGGGCATGGTGGCTCACACCTATAATCCCAGCACTTTGGGAGGCTGATGCAGTAGGATCACTAGAGCCTAGGGGTTCAAGACCAACCTGGGCAACATGGCGAGACCTCATGTCTACAAAAAATGTAAAATATTAACTGGGCATGGTGGTGCATGCCTGTAGTCCCAGCTACTCAATAGGCTAAAGTGGGAGGATCGCTTGAGCTCAGGAGTTAAAGGCTACAGTGAGCTATGATCGCACCACCACACTCTAGCCAGGACAATAGAATGAGACCCCTTCTCTTAAAAAAAAATACTAAATCTTAGACCAACATGTTCTGATTTTTTTCCTTGGTGATTACTCTGAGGCTTTAAAAAAGATTTACATTCTATTCAGACCAGCTTTTTTCCCTCTTTTATTTTTGGGGCGTGCTCCCGCTTTGCTGGGTCTGCAAGCGCTCACCTTGTGAGACTGTAGGCAACCCGCGCTGCAGCCTAAACCTCTCTCTCCTTCTCCCCGCCTTCCGCAGGCCTGGACACAATCCAGTGCTCCCTGCCCGTGGAGAACAGGAGGATTTCCCTGCGCGAGCTGTCGGAGGCCAGCTTCAGCGAGTGCAAGTTCAGCCTGTCGCTCACCGACCTGTTCATCATCATCTTCTCCGGCGTGGCCGTGTCCATCGCGGCCATCATCTCCAGCTTCTTCCTGGCCACCGTGGTGCAGTGCTTCCAGAGGTGCGCCCCCAACAAAGACACGGAGGACGAAGACGAGGACGAGGACGACTGAGCCACCGCTTCCCGTTCCTCACTGTCCGGCACGGAGCCAGCAGCGCCCCTCTGAGAAGGGGGGGCAAAGCACCGGCCCCATCAGTGAACAGAACAGGGCCTGCTCTGCGCCTTGGCCCCCGGGTGTCCCACTGGGACCCTTGGTCGCGGGGTTTAGGATCGGCAGAGCAGAGAAGGGCAGAGCCCGCCTCTCAGGTGGAGGTGTGTGTCGGGGCAGAAGATGGCCGGGGCAGGCTTCATAGCTGGTGGCTGAAAACGTCCCCAGCAGATGTGAAGACGTGAGGCTTTTAGACCGCAGAGGTGATCTTGTGCCGTTCTTTCTCTGACCTGGACCGGGAGGTCACGAAGCACCCCCTTCCTCCCAAGAGCCAGCAGCTCACACGGTGGGGATTAAAATTCAGATCGTTCTCTGCAGGAGCAAGAATTCCACCCTTTTGTCTAGTAGGCAACCTTGGGATGTTACACTGAGAACTAATAAACCATGTGCAAGGGCTGGGAGTGGTGGCTGACGCCTGTAATCCCAGCACTGTGGGAGGCTGAGGCGGGAGATTGCTTGAGCCCAGGAGTTCAAGGCTGCAGTGAGCTGTGATCACAGCACTGCACTCCCACCAGGACAACAGAATGAGTGAGACCCTGTCTCTAAAAAAAAAAAAGCAAAAACAAAAAAACCATGTGCAATAGACTAAATATTTGTGTGTGTGTGTGTGTGTGTGTCCCCTCTTGTCTCCCCCCCGCCCCCGGCAAATTCATATGTTAAAATCTAATCCCCAATGTGATGGTATTTGGTGGTGGTGCCTTTGGGAGGTGATCAGGTTTAGATGAGGTTGTCATTGTGGCCTGAATGATGGGATTAGTGCCCTCATGAAAGAGGCCCCAGAGAGCTCCCTCACCGCTTCCTCCACTTGGGGACCTGGTGAGAAGTCAGCTGTCTCTGAGCCAAGAAGCAGGCCCTCACCAGACCCCAGCCATGCCAGCCCCCAGATCTCAGACTTACAGCGTCCAGAACTGTGAGAATAAATATCTGTTGTTTCTAAGCCACTCAAACTATGGTATTGTATTGTAGCAGTTGACATGGACCAAGACACCATATTTGGCTAAAATGGCACCAAGAAAAAAAGCTAACACCTGACCAAACAGCGTTTGTTGTTATATTTTGGTAAGCTTTTGGGTTTACCAAAATTTGGAAAAATTTTGTTGACGTAACTCAACCCCGGATCCTTATCCTAAGAGGTAGCAACTTGTAGAAGAAGGGTAGTGGCTTTGTGCGATCGTGATGGTCTCTCAGACTCATTCTTCCCTCTGAAGGTACAATCGGGTTGTTCCTCTCTCCCAGCCCCTTCCTGGGTCCCTCCTCAGCTGAGTAACGCTTCGCCATTCTCTATGCCACAGTTCCGGACTGGTCATCTCTGGAACTTTTGATAAACTTTCCTGGAGGCCAGGATTCCAATCAGCAGGTTGCACTGGATCCACAAAATGCTAAAAAAATATGCCGGGACTTGGCCTCTGAAAAGCCTCCATTGGTGGCCTTAGGGTATATGTGACATTTCTGTGGCACATAGGCTGTGACAGGCAGTGTTTTCCAGGATGTGGGATGCAGAACTTTGGTTCAGAGACAACGTGAAACAAACAAGTCTTGCGCCCCGGTGGGTTAATACAAGATGACTTGTGTTAGCAGCGTTGGCCCGGGCTGGGGGCTGAGACTTGGAACAGGGGCTCGTGAGAAGCCCTTGCGGTATTTTTGAGAATCACTTTTGCATTCTTCTCTATAATACATTACTGATGTTTCTTTCCTTCGTTGCTTCTTTCCATCCTGGCTTCTGTAAATAATTATGGAGGGCTTACTCAGGGCCAGGTACTGGTCCAGGCATTGTGGTTGTGCATTGAATAAGAAAGACAGGTTACCTGTCCTCTTGGGCCTCACATTCTTGTGAGTTGAACAGAAAACAAACAAGGAAACAAAACTGTCATCGCAGGTAGGAGCGTCATGAGGAAAGAAACGCGGTCTTAGGACCAAGAGTAACTGGTAGGACCCACTCCAGAGTAGACAGTCAGATGTGTGTGTTAAGGTTCTCCAAGGAAACAACCAACAGGAGACAGACAGACAAACATATTTATTACAAGGAATTGGCTCATGAGCTTATGGAGGTTGAGAAGTCCCAGGATCTGTACTTGGCAAGCTGGAGACAGGGAGAGCCGAGGTGTCCTCTCGTTCCAGTCCAAGGGCAGAAGGAAGACCAGCTCTGCAGTCGGAAAAAAAGAATAGCTTCTCCCTCCTCCACTGTTTTGTTCTGTTCAGGACCTCAGTGGATGGGATGGTGCCCAGCAAACACACTGGGGAGGGCCGTCTGCCTTACCCAGGCTACCTGTTCAAGTGCTAATCTCATCCCAAGCCCCAGGCTCACCCAGAAATAATGTTTAACCAAATATCGGGGCACCCCATGGCCCAGTCAAGCCAACTCACATAATGCACCATCACGGCTCAGAGAGCCTCTGCGTGGCTTTGGAGCTGGGTCCTGCCTCCCTCTTCTCTCACCTCCTGGCTGCTCTCCTTCTCCCTCTCTCTTTTTCTTTCTTTCTTTCTTTCTTCTTTCTCTCTCTCTCTCTCTCTCTTTCTTTCTTTCTTTCCTCTTTCTCTCTCTCTCTCTCTCTCTCCCCCCCACTTCAACCTTGGGGAGACCCTCAGTCCACCCTCTGCTCTCTAGCAGTGTGGGCTCCGGCGGAGGGGACCCCTGGTTTGGAAGGACCGTCTTCTCAGAGTCCTGGGCAGGGGAGAAGTGGCTCCATGGCAGCCTCAGCTCTGAGAGCCCCTCTGTGGGCTCTGACCCCCTGTGCGGGTAGCGTTTCTGCTGAGAGCACGAAAGGATTCAATGGCAGAACCTCCCTAGCCTGGCCACGGGTTCAGCTAAGTCTTGTGTCGGGTTGGGATTTTGCCTCCGCCTGCTCCCAGGCCCAGGAGCGCCACTACTGTGGGTGCAGTTAAAGCCCCAAACACAACAGTCCCTGCCGAAGTCATAACTTGTTCTCTCCCAGAGTCCTGGAGAGGTGGTGCCCCAACCTGGGGACTTAGTGCCAGACCCTTCTTCTAATAGGTTCCAGTGGATGAATTTCCCCTACTGAGTCTGTTTTATTCTTTCAGTCTGCCTTGAGTGATTCACACTGGTCCACAGGCTCTGCTGTTTCCTTAGAATACACAAGCTCTACATGGCACAGGGGCTGGGGTGTCGTTTGCTGAATGAATGAGTGGGGGAAGGGCTCTTGTGTGTGCTGGCTGCACCCCAGGGTTTTGGAGTGAACGTGATTCTTGGGAAGAAGAGGAGCTTTAAAATATTGCCAGTTAAAATGGTCACTTACTGCCTGGATATAAAATTCCTATAAAACTATGGGGATGTTGGGGACATTGGAGATAGGGGACGGGAGGGAGGGAAGTAGCATCCATCGTCAGGCCCAAGAAAATAAAATATACTGACCAGGGGCCACAGCTCAGCTGGGGAGACGACTTTTGAGACATGACATTGCACAAATAATAGGCAATGATTTGGAACTCTCTGACTTGCCTTTGGGTCTCAAGTTATTGTCATTATTGACAATGACAACAGTGCCACCGGCATACGTGTGGAGGGTCTCTCCTACATCTCCACAGGTCTTAGTTCAAATGCCACCTTCTCAGGGTCAACCTCAGCACCCCACCTCAATTATTCTCTGCACAGCACACCATGATCTGACCTATTTGTTTACACATTCGCTTTCTACCTCCCTGAGCTGTAACTTGAGCTCCCCCAGGGCAGGACCTTGGGTCACTCGTGTCCCCAGCATTCAGAATCGTGCCTGGCATGTAGTGGTGGCACAACCAATATATGTATTGGTTGGAGGAGCAAACAGATGAGCTCCGTATAGCACTCGAGCTGCCCTGCAAACCTGAGCTCTGTGTAATCATCCTCACAGCTCCAGCTAAGAGCCTCTGTTGCGGCCGGGCGCGGTGGCTCACTCCTGTAATCCTAGCACTCTGGGAGGCCGAGGCGGGTGGATTGCTTGAGGTCAGGAGTTCGAAACCAGCCTGAGCAAGAGCGAGACCCCTGTCTGTACTATAAATACAAAGAAATTAATTGTCCAACTAATATATAGAGAAAGAAAAATTAGCCGGGCATGGTGGCGCATGCCTGTAGTCCCAGCTACTTGGGAGACTGAGGCAGAGGATTGCTTGAGTCCAGGAGTTTGAGGTTGCTGTGAGCTAGGCTGACGCCACGGCACTCACTCTAGCATGGGCAACAAAGTGAGACTCTGTCTCAAAAAAATAAAAATAATAATAAAAAGAGCCTCTGTTGCCCCGGTTTCGTAGATGAGGAAACTGAGGCTCAGAGAGGGTAGGCGGTTACAGGACGTGACTGAGCCAGCGCAGACTCGCAGCTGGTGGACTCACAGCCTGTGCCCTTGGTTCTGGCAGCTCGCGCGTGTGGGGGTCATGCCTGTGCTGGATGCCGGGCCTGGTCCTCTGTGTAGATTCCCTCCTTCAAGCCACTCGCAAACCCCGAAGGCAGGTGCCACTGTTACCTCCCCTTTACGCCTCCATCACCTCTGCTTTAGCATTGAAATAATGTGTTTGGGGCTGGGAGAAACTTGCAGGTGGGACGCGGCCCATCAGCGATGGAGCGGGATTTGGCCGCAGATGCTCTGACGAGCGCGGTGTGGCCTCTCCTCTCCTCACCCACCTGCGTTTCTTTGTTACACCAGCGGGGCAGCCTGGCAAGGACAGCGAGGAGTGGCACGTTTCTCAGGGCTGAGCTCCTGCACAAACAGCCAGTGGTTGCTGCACACACTCATGATGACTGTATTTCAAGCCTCAAACCAAACATCTCGGATCCTTCTGGGAGAGTCGACCCACCAGAATGTCTTGTCTCACTGCCTTGCTCTCTTTACGACCCAATGACCAGAGGGTTGCAGCAGCATCACAGTCGCATTCATCTTACTGTGGTGACAGCGAGTACCCCCAGCACGGCCCCTGGACTGGGCAAGAGCGGCCCTGTCTTAGGCCCAGTGCTCTGGAGGGCCCTGCTCCAGCCTTCTCTAGCCGTGCTCTTCCCCAGGGAGTGAGGTACAGTGGAACCAAGGGCACATGCCTGTGCAGAACCAGCGTGCCCTTCTAGAACATTCTCTGGGTACTCAGGGCCCCAGAATTTCCTGTGCAAAAGACCCCCCCCAAGCTCAGGCATGGGCTTCTTCGTAGCATCCTGCTTCCAGGGTGGCCTGAGTGGCCACACAGGGTGTTGGCAGGGAATGTGAGCGGAGGTCAGGAGTGCAAGCTTGGTTGTCCACACAGGTGTGCGTAGACTCCTAGAGGTGCAGGATGGAGCTGGGGGAGGGGCAAGGGAAGGGAGGCAGGTCTCGGACAGCTCAGCTGCCCTATACTGGCGCAGATTTCCAGGAATTCGAGAATATACCTAGTAACCCTGGTCTTTAAGTCATGAAGAAAGTACGTTTGTCAAAGTAGCTGGATAGAACATTTTGTATAACAGTTTATCTTCACTCATGACTTGTAAATGTTTAGATAGAGATGCGTGGAGGGTATTTGCGCTCCTGTCCTGGCTCCGCGGATGTTACAGGTGGGCCTGGGTACCACAGCAGGGACCAAAGGACGGCCACTTGCCCTGACTTTGGCCTCAGGAC